GTAGAGTCCTTGGCCCTAACTCTAAAGAGGACTTTTTTTTTTTTTTTAATCAGCAAAATCTGGAAGAGAGCATTTATTTTGTCAAAGTTCCTTCCCGATTATTTCATCAACTTGACAGCCATCCTAAGGGGTGCAGAGGGAGCCTTATGATCAATCTGATGAGTAAATTCCTGCTGAGACGGCTGTAGCACAGAGAGGGGAGGTGACTTGCTGGAGGTCACAAAGCATCCATCCAGTTAAGAGAGCCAAGGTCAACCCCTGGCTGTCTACCCCCAGCCCTCTGCCTACCTCTGTGTCAGGAGACGGAATAGGAGTCACACATACATCGGCTGCGGCATCACAGACCAAACTCCATCACTGTCCCTTAGGAGTGAGCTCTGGGTCCCTAACGACTCTGATTTTGGGGAATGACGCGCTCCCTAGAGTTGTAGGGAGAATGAACGGAGGACCTAAGTGTCCATTTGTTACGCTCTGGAGCTGTCCCTGGGGCGCTGGCCCCTGTCATTAAGCCATTTATTTCCCCTCCCCGGTCCCTGCAGTCTTTGCTTAATAATGCCACCTTATTATAATGTCCTTTATGTTTCCCTTTTGTTTGCTCAACTAAATGTGCAGCGTGTGAAGGTTCCCGCAGTAAAACCGCTCCAAGTAGACCGTGGTTTCAAGTGAACGATTATTATTTTAAATTGCTTTCTTGCTACCTGGCCGCGCTTGGAGGCCGAGGGGTGCATGTTCTGGACCTGGGGGACCAGGGAAGGAGGAGGGTGAGGAGGTGGTGACCGAAGAGTGGAGCCCGGCTCCCGGCCACGGTCCTACCCTACAAAGTCATGGCAGCAGCAGGCGAGGAAGGGAGAGACGCAGGTCTGTGGGGCAGCGCCCCCAGCCCTCCATGAAGGACACACAGGAATGAGGGGTCTCAGAAGGGCTGACAAATTGGGCCTGGTGCTGGGTGCCCTGGGGCACACCTGTCATCCCAGCGGCTGGGGGAGGCTGAGGCAGGAGGATCACGAGTTCACAGCCAGCCTCAGCCATGGTGAGGCGCTGAGCAACTCAGTGAGACTCTGTCTCTAAATAAAGTACAAAATAGGGCTGGGGATGGGGCTCAGGGGTCAAGTGCCCCTGAGTTCAATCCCTGGTGCCCCCCACACCAAAATAATGGGGCCTGGCGATGACCTGGGCCTGAGACCCAGGGGGCACTGTGTGAAGGGACCTCACAATGGGAGTCCACAGGCCAGTCCTGGGCTCCACCACGGATCCAGACTGATGCTCCAAAGCCAGGTGGGACCAGTCCTACCTCAGGGGTCCCTGGCTCAGGAACGGCCACCCCATGACAGGGAGACCCCCGGCACAGTGTGCAGCCCAAGGAGCCTTCTCGAACTCGGCCACTGTGACAAAGTCTGGCATCTGGTCAGAGCCCGTTCCTGGGAGCTGTGGCTGTTATACTTATCACTGTGAAGATGTCCTCTCCTCCCTCACTTCCACCCCCCGGAGAATCCGACGTCGTTCCTTCTCTTTCACCTCTTGCCACTTGACTTCTAGAGGGAGAAACACCCCTCGGGTGAGTCAGCAAAAGTGGAACTCGGCAAAGTCAAATCACCCATATGTTAGTTAAAAAAAAAAAAATCCAAAACTTGGGAGAGAAAAAAAAAAAAAGATGGTTGTGTGACCTTTGAATGTCATGCGAAAGCATTTTCTAATTAGGTACCTCCTTCCTCACTGTAATATCACTTTGTTTAACTTATTATTCACAACTGAGTCGGGTCCAGATGGCCTCGCTCGTCTGCAAAGAGAGATGTTAACTTTCCAAAAACAGGTGGGATCATTCTCCCCCACCCCAGCCTGGTAAGTAAGCTCACGATTGTCCCTGTTGGCGAGACAGTTTTCTATGTGACTTAGGTGACTTCGGCCTTCCCTTTGCTGCAGATTATCCAAATCTCAGTTTCTCAGGACCTCTGTGGACTCCGCCGTTTGTCCCCGCCGGCTTCCTCATTACTGAGCTAAGGAAAAACTTGACAAACGTCCATCACGATGAGGATGCTCTTGACCGCTGGGAACTGCGCTTCCTGGAATGCACCTTATTCCGTTTCTTCTTCTCCGGGCACCCTGAGCTCCGGGGCTCTTCAGACTCAGCGTCACGCTGTCATGGATTTTTACCGGTGTCCTTTACCCCCACCCTGTCCCAAGCCAGGCTCCGTGAGCACGTGTCTGGCCTATGCCTTGAAGCACCCCTAGCAACCAGGACCTGGGAGACACTCTGGCCACTTGAATGAGAGCCCGTGATACAAATGGATCAGGGTCAAGGATGTCGTGATCTGAACGAGGCCAAGGATGGGGGTGGAGGGCCAGCAGGGGCCCAGTCCTTCTCGCTGCCCCCGTCGGATGCTTTTCATTTTCTTTCACTTGGAACAGAAAAAGTCCCAGGGGAGACGGTTCAGAAGTGGGACAATTTATCTCAAAGACATAAGAGCAGCCCCGGTCACCACTCTTCCCAAAGTGACCGTGCAAGGTTGGGCTCTCGATTCGGACTCGTGTGATCAGATAACTGGGAGGGGCCCTGGGGGTGGACCCAGCTCCTCTCATGAAAATACTGAATAAGGATTTTTTTTTTTTTACATAAAAAGAGAACTAAGCAAAAATTCTAGAGGAAAGGACACACTGCAGCTGGTCGTGGCCAGATCGGGTAAGGACACTCAGTGACAACGCAGCTCCTGCATGCTCAGAGCCCCTGGGTCTGGTCAAGTCATGTAACAGCATCAGGAGGGGCAGATGTGATACAATAGGGAGTGGTGAGGTCTGTGGCCAAGACAAACCTGCGCCTTATCTAAAGGGTGTACTGGCTGTTCAACTACTCTCAAGGGCCGCCCCGTAGCCCCATTTTTTTTTTCTTTAAATACTGGCTACTGATCCTTTCTTAAGATGAGGACCAAACAAGACATATTTGTGAGGCAGATCTAAGCTATCAGCCTCACCTGGGGCCTCTGATTTTATGTTGCACTTTTTTTTTTTTTTTTGGTACCAGGGATTGAACCCGTGGGTGCTTAACCACTGAGCCACATCCACAGCCCTGTGTTGGGGTTTATATAGAGACAGGGTCTCACTGAGTTGCTTAGGGCCTCACTAAGCTGCTGAGGCTGGCTTTGAACATGCGATCCTCCTGCCTCGGCCTCCCGAGACCCTGAGATGACAAGCGTGCGCCACTGCACTTTCAGGAGAAAAAAAAGGAAAACCTCTGCGATGGCACCTTTGCCGGGCTGGAGTATCCCGTGATGTTCAGAGCAAAATCCTTCTTACCAGCCATCGACGCCAGCTTTCTGCAGTTCAGAAATCCCAAAGGACAAAGACCCCATGAAGTCATTCCGGCTGGTCAGGTCCCAATCCCAGATCTCTACCGAGAGCCTCCTGTCTTTGTCGGACTCTTTCAGCTGACTGCAAAGAGAAGACAGAGAAGTCAGAGGACCCTACTGTGATCTCTCCAGCGGGGGAGGCGTCGGAATAAAAGGACAAGACCTGGAGGCAGAGATTTTTCAGCCTCACAAGCTGCTGCAAGTAACATGCTCAGCCTCCGTTCCCCAGGGCGCGGGGGGCTTTTCCTGGGTGACAGCCCGTGGGCTGAACTGGAGTAAGACCCGGGTCAGCTCCTACAGGAGTGGCTTTACCGGCTTCTGCTGGTTCATATCTTAATCATATTCCTGGTGTTTGGCAGATCCTACTGACAGTCACGGTGAGAAACACACCCATGGGTCACAGCACCCGGCGAGTCTGTGTGTGTGTGTGTGTTTGCACACACGTGGGTCGAGGAGGAGACAGAGAAAAGGGTCTTTGGAGGTGTCTTTGGGGGAAACTGCCTGTTCTCAGGCACAGCCTTGATTGAGACTAGAGATGATTCCTAGTTTTATCCTGAGAAAGGGAAGAGGAGATGGGACACCCCCCACCCCCAAGGAACCAGGCATTCAGCCTGTGGCTTATATTTCCTATGGACCATTTTCAGTAACGTCTATAAGCCCCATCTGATAAAAAAAAAAGGGGGGGGGGAATAAAATGAGCCCGTGAAGTTGGATCATGTAACTCATTTAGTACGTATAGTATGTGCTCAATAAATGCTGGCTGTTGTCATGAACACCTGCAGGCACAGATGCATGGAGAAAGGGATCTCCCAGATTCTTGGAGCACCGGCCAGGGAAGAGGCTCCGTGGAAGTCAGTGGAGGCCGCCCAGTCGGCTGCAGACCCAGCCAGCATCATCCTAAACTCAGCCCCAGAGAGCCTGTCACCGCGTGCTACAGGTGGCGTCCCACTGTGGCTTCCCAAACAACCCACCTTCCCTAACAACCGCGCCCCCTGCCCACGGGCACTCGGAACGCTACCGAAAAATCAGTTCTCATTTTTTACTCAGCTCACACTCCAAAAATTCCCAGGTGCCCGGGACCCAGCCTCTGCCCCCACGCCAAGCTGCGGGGTTTCAACTCACAATCTGAACGTCTCGTTCCACTCGGGGTTCAGGGAGCACTTGATGGTCTTGGTCTTCTGCTTGCTCTCGCTCTTGGGATCAGGGATCAGTTTCAGCTTCACGTAGGGATCTGACAAGCCGTTGGGGTCCATAGGTACAAGGTTTTTAGCATCTCTTACTAGAAAAGAAAAAAGCAGTTTCCGCGTTAATCATGTCCAACGTGTGTAAGCAACAAACAGCCGTGTGGGTAGAACCAGTGACGGCGGCTGGCCTGGCATTTGCTGGGTCAGAATGTTACTGTGATTAACATCAACAGCTCAGAGTCCCCCACAGAGAAATAAGCGAGTCAAAGGGAGATTTGGTTCCATGTTGGGGAAAAATTGACTTCTGACTTTCAGGTTGCAATCCCTGGACTGCTTCCAAGAGGAACTGCAAGTTTTCTAAGCGAGCTTCCACCAAGCCCCCAGGAAAAAAAAAAACAGGCTCCTTTAGTTTAGCTTAATGTTTTCAAGGCTGAATAATATTCCTCGGTATAGAGAGACCACATTTTCAAAATGCGTTTGTCAGTTGATGAACATTTTGGTCATTTCTACTTTTTGACTATTGGGAACAGTGCTGCTATGGACGTGTGCATACCCAGACTCAAATGGTCATATATTTATATAAATTCCATTTATATAAAATATCCTAAGGAAATAATTCCATGAATGAGGATTAGACTAGTACTAGCCATCAGCCAAGGGGAGGGAGAGAGGAGGTTTACTGCTTCACAAATTCAGACTTTTTAAGGGGTGATGAAAAGTTACTGGAACTAGAAATAGATGATGATTATATAATCAGAGAATGTACTAAATGCCACTGAATGCACTACTTTAAGATAGGTAATGGTTAGTCCTGTTTGATATGAATCTTACCTCAATTAAAAAAAGAAAGAGCTGAAAGAATCAGAGGTGCCATCTAAACCAAGGTGCACCTCTTATCCAGGTGTCACTCATGACCAGTACCTAGATAATGGCACACACCTGAAATCCCAGATACTTGGGAGGCTGAGGCAGGAGGATCACAAGTTCAAGGCCAGTCTCTGCAACTTAGTGAAATGTGTCTCAAAATAAAAAATAAAGAGTGGGAGATGTAGCTCAGTGGTAGAGCATCCATGGGTTCAAACTCCAGTACCCCAAAAGAAGAAGGAAAGCAGGAGGATGAGGAGGAGGGGAGAAGGAGAATATCAGCAACATTACAGCAATCAAGAACAGCATCAACCTGGTCAGGAACATCCCAGGTACAGAAAGTTATAGGATCAACTTAGGGTAGGAAAAGCATTAGCATTCAGGATGCTACAGGTCACAGGAAAAAAATGAAGCAGGATAAAACATCAGCCTAGAGAAACAGGAAGAAGTTAGTTAGGAGCCAGCTCAAAAGCCACTAACGTAGGTAGCCAAGTGAAGGGGATTAGAAAATAAGAGACACACAGAACCTAAGAATAGAGTGCTAACCATCTCCCTTGTGGTAGAAAAAATCCAAGATACTGTATTCGATCCACAATGAGTGAAACCATCCAGTAGAAGTTAAATATAGAATGGCACCTTGCATCAATACAGAGATGGTTCACTCTCAGGAAATCTGTTTTATGGATTCATCAATTTAGAGGCGAAAGGAGAAAACAATAAGGTCATTGCCGTTATCTGGAAATAGCAGGGAGATGTCTTAAGAGGAGACGGGCCACCCGGAGTAACAGCGCCAAGGCTCATGATCAATGCAGTCCCACTATGGTCAGGAAGAAGACGAAGATGCCCAGCGCCTCAAACTCACCACCTTATTCTAAGTGTCCCACGAGTGCAATAAGAAAATCAAAACAAGAGTTCCGCAAGTTCAAGATGACAAGAAAAATGGATTCAAAGACAGAATCCGTTCCAGTAACTTTTACTTCTACCCAACCATGGTTATCTCCTTCCACGGTCCCTCCCGTGGCTCCTCCTGGAAATGATACCTCAGGGGCCCCAACATCTTACACTTTCCTTCCTGCTTTCTCTGGTTCTTTAACGCGAATGCTCCCCCGAAACGTGTCTCTCCCACCCCTCACCCACCACCAGATCCTTAGTACCAGTTCAGCGCTCTGCTCGGCACTGGGGATGCAGGGGACCATCTAAGAGGTTGATCCCGTCCACAAGGAACAGACGAAACTGTTAGGGTCTGTAAACAAGTCAGGATGGCGCCTGGCATTTTGCAGAGGGAGGGGTTTGTGAAGTAACACCAGCGAGCCATTAAGTGTGGAGATTCCTTATTGGTTGACTGCTGTATCGAGTTTATGTTAATTAAGACAAGCTGTGTGGAATGTATAAATACCCCTCCTGTCCTACAATAAACGGCTCCCACTCCTGCTGTATCAATGTACACAAGTTGCTCGTCACCCCTCGGTTATTTTGCTGCAGCCGGACTGCGGCACGAAACCAAGTTGATTTAAAAGTATAGTTGACTTCTAACGAGACAGTAGCCCGGCCACCCAGAGTTAGGGATACAGGGCTATAAAATGCCAGGGTAGGCGTCTTGTATTTAAACCTCAGTTTCTTGATCAATCAAATGGGTTCTTGTAAGAGTAGCCTGGGATAAAGAATATACATTGGTCTGCAAGTCTACTTTGGTGCCAATACCATGCACTTTTTTTGTTACTATAGCTCCGTAGTATAGTTTAAGGTCTGGTATTGGGATGGCTCCTGCTTCACTTTTCTTGGCTAAGGATTGCTTTAGCTATTCTGGGTCTCTTATTTTTTCCAAATAAATTTCATGATTGCTTTTTCTATTTCTATGAAGAATGCAATATTAATTCTGCCTACCCAGGAACATGGGAGATCTTTCCATCTTCTGAGGATTTCTTCAATTCCTTTCTTTAGTGTTCTGTGTTTTCATTGTAGAGGTCTTTCACCTCTTCTGTTAGATTGATTCCCAGGTATTTTATTTTATTTTTGAGGCTATTGTGAACGGAGTAGTTTTCCTAATTTCTTTTCCAGTGGATTCATTGCTGATGTATAGGAATGCGTTTGATTTATGGGTGTTGATTTTATATCCTGCTACTTTGATGAATTCATTCATGAGTTCTAGAAGTCTTCTGGTGGAATTTTTTTTTTTTATCTTCTAGATATAGAATCATGTCATCAGCAAATAGTGACAGTTTGAGTTCTTCTTTATCTATTTGTATCCCTTTAATTTCTTTCTTTTGTCTAACTGCTTGGGCTAGAGTTTCAAGTATGATCAGTGTTTATAGCAGCTCAATTCACAATAGAAAGACTACAGAACCAACCTAGGTGTCCCTCAATAGATGAATGGATAAGGAAAATGGGGTCTAGATACTCAATGGAATATTACTCAGCTTTAAAGAAGAGTGAAATTATGGCATTTGCCAGTAAATGGTTGGAGTTGGAGAATATCATGCTAAGCGAAATAAGCCAATCCCACAAAACCAAAGGCTGAATGTTTTTCTCTAATATGCAGATGCTAATTCACAATAAGGCGGGTGGAGGGTGTGCTAGGGAAGAATAGCGTTACCTTAGATTAGGTAGAGGGAGGGGAGGGGATGTGGGGGTAGGAAAGATAGTAGAAGGAAACAGACACTATTACTGTTGCATATATGTGATTGCATGACCAATAGGATTCTGCAACATGTGCACTCAGAAAAATGAAATTATTCCCCATCTGTGTATGATATATCAAAGTGCATAAATGCATTCTACTCTCATGTCGAACTAATTAAAACAAATTAAAAAGTTAAAAAGGAAAAAAAAAAAAGAATATACATGTTTAGCCCAGAGCCTGGAGCCCAGAAGGTCCTCATACCAGCCTGTCCATACTGCTATTTCATGTGGCTATTATTATTTTACTCCATTTCTCTATTTTTATTGTGAAGTCTAACCCATTTCCAAATGGATGGATCCCAAACAGAATCGCCTGTGTTTTTCCTTCTGAAGAACAACCAACGCCTCTGACCTCCCCAATGGAACCCTTCCAGAAGAGTCCATCTCAAACCTCAGCCTGCTTCAGGGTCCCTGAAGGACCCACCCCCACAGGTACCTGCAGCCTCCGGAAGTGGGATCTGCTCCTCTGCCTTCCTGACAGGTCTCCCTGTGAGGCTGACGCTGCGGGTCCGCAGAGCACCCACATGGAGCAACGCGGCTCTGGAGCGTGAGATTCAAGATCCCAGCGCGTCTCCCCCCGACGGAACAGCCCCCCAACTGTTATTTTCTCTCCTGTCTTGATCCTTCCAAGGAAAAGAGCAGGTGCCAGTTTCTAGTCTGGGAAAGACACTTCTATCCCCCAGGGAGCTGCATGAAAACAGGATCTGAGACACCGACAGGGCCAGAAACCTGTCTGTCAGCTAGACTGGCAACCCTCGGGCAGGGGGAGACAGCTCCTCTGTCCTCTTTCCCGTCAGGCCACCCCCACACCCCAACCCACACCCACCTTGTCTTACGAACTGGCACCAGAAAGACAATCACTGGGAAAATATCTTCTATTGTAAGGTTAGGACTTTCCAGCAGTTTCCGAGGGCTCTCTGCCAGGACCATACTGGGCCCTCGAAGCTGTCAATGTCAAGGCTGATGCCTTTAGACTTCCTCTGAAGTCAACGAGCCTCGTGAGGGACCCTCCCCCTCCCCCCTCCCTTCTAGGTCTTTCTTCAGTCCACCTGATTCTACCGTCTACCAAAGGGGTTAAAACTGCCAGGGGAAGGAATATTGAAACTGGTGGCATCCACCTCTCCGAGAGTTTTGGCTACTGAAACCGCTGTGTCCTGAGCAATGGACAGTGGCTGCGGCCTCCCATCCCAAGGCCTGTCCCCTCCTGAAGCTCTTCAGAGTCGGCTCCTGTTCTCCGCGCCCCCCCAGTAGCAGCAAGAGGGCTGCTCTGTGTTCGTTTGGAGGAAGCCAATCCCTCTAGACCACACTTGGCGAGACTCACTTGGACGTTTCTTGATAAATGTTGCTTTACTATCTTTCCTGAAATCCGGCCAGCCCAGATGGTCCCCGAGAAACGCTTCACGCAAAGCAGAAATAGCAAGCTTCCCCCACCCCCTGGTGGAAGTCTGCTAGAGACACAGGCGAAGGATACCCTGGGGACAGAGAGCAGGCTGTGCTGGGGACCACCGGGAGCAGGGTGGAGGACAGAACCCAGCTCCTTCCCTCCCTCAGT